GAGATGTTAGCTGTCATCAATGTTAGACAGAAGTCTGTATTAGATTCTGAACTTCTGCGTCACCGACCACTTCGATATGGACAGAGTGTAAAAGCTGATGACAATAGAATTTCAGAGGAAACTAGACGTACACGCTGCTCGCGAGTTAGCATAAATGTTTAAATAATTTTATTTAACATTAAGTTTTGATATTGTCTTTAATTGTTTTCGTATGATTGATACAGGTAATCTTTTATATATTGGATCATTTACAAAGATGGCTCAGAGAACGAAGATTATTTCATGACGATAGATATGAAGCTATAAAAAGTTTGTAATAAAAAATGTATTCTGTCATATACTGTGTTAATTTATATATATATTATATATATAAATATATATTATATATATATAAATTATATATATATATATATATAGATCAGATGTATGATGTTTTGTTGATATTTCTAGAATTCTGCTCTAGATTAGATAGTTTGGTAGTGGCAGAGGGATGTTACCAATCACGGGAATACCACCGTGCACTAATGTATCTAGAGCAACACATGGCATCTAGTAATAAAGGTTTATCTGAATTAACAGAAGGTGGTTTACTTGCTGTATGTAATACTACATATTTTAATATCATATACACTTCTATGTTCCATAATGTAGAATTATTTATTGCAGAAAATTTATGCGCAACTCGATGAACCTGATGGAGTTTCTGGTATTCTTGCAACCCAAAATCAGTCTCCTACATTGCAACAACTGGTTTTAGCTCATGAAGTAAATGGACAGCTTCAGGTACTATTAGATAAATTAAGAAATTCTACAATATCAAATCTTATTTGTACCATGACAGTTTCAAACTAAATACCGATGAGAATAAGCCATTTACAGTCTAGCTGTGGATCTTGGATGCTTCTAATATAATTTTTGTGTGAATTTATATCCTACGTATGGAGATCCCTAAATGCGCGCTGAAATTTTTTCAGACTTACAATGCAAACTAATAAACTGCCACACTATCACGAGTTAAATTGACTAACAATCTAACAATTTTGATGCTCATTGCATTTTGGATCTTAATAATATGTTAAATGACATTAAAATCTATGATTTACATATTAAAAATCTATAAATAATTTAATTACATTGCGAAAAATATTACCTCACTCGGGAGTCGAACCCGGATCGCTTTACGCGTAAGCGTCCTAGCCAATTAGACTACCCAGGCCTTCGTAGTTAAGACGGTAGACTAAATGGTAAATAAATTCACACAAAAATTATATTAGAAGCATCCAAGATCCAGCTTGACCGTAAATGGATTATTCTTATCGGTATTTAGTAAGAAATTCTACTTTGAAACTATAATTTTGCTTTACTAAATTAAAACACTTTAGATATTAATGAATTTTATTAGGACGCAGCTACATGTTATGAGAGACTCATGCAGACTAAAGACTCAAAACATACTTACTTACAAGGTATGATTCAATGTTACCTTGGTCTAGATCAACCATTCACTGCGAAACACATTACCGAGGGTCTATTAAGTAATAGGTAATACTTATGACAGTACAAATGAACATAAATAGTTCAACTATTTACAACCTAAAACATTTTTTTCATATGACAGACCAGAATTAGAGTCTCTCATAACTGAACGTGAACTTTTTTGGAGACTTGCTCACTTCTCCCGATTTGAAGAGTCCTCACAAAAAAATATAAAACACGTACTATTAGACGATCTCGTAAAGGGAACAAAGCCTGATTTGCTCTCATTAAAGAAGAATTTAGTATCATTATTAGAAGATGCTTCTCGACCGGGAGCTTATCAACAGAGTTACTCGTACATTATGAAGTAAGTATTAATAATTTATATTCTCTTTAAATTACTAAAATGTATCAATTAAATCATTTTCAGGTTACATATATTAAATGAATTTGATAAAGCAACTTCAATGATGTTGAACAAGACAGAAGATCTGCCAGCAATGTTAGAAGAATGGGAGAAACGTGGACAATTATTGAGAGTATCTCGTGGTGTAGAATTTGTTTTGAGTATGCGCAGAGCTACTTTAGATCTAGCTGTACAGTTACAACGAAAGACTCAAAACACAGAAAATTTAATGTTTAAGCAAGAAATAGGTAAAATCTGGCTAAAGAGTGCCAAAATTGCTAGAAAGTACGTATGACATATTTTTTTCTTTTGTATTTAGTAATTTCTATGTTAAAAACGAATTGTTTCATTCAGGACTGGCTTGCACCAACAAGCGTATATGCACATTTTATCAGCCAATGATTGGTGCCCACCACAGCCTTTGTACATCGAACAAGCTCAATTATATTGGCAAAAGGGTTGTCAAGAAGATGCTTTTACTACTTTAAATCGTTGTTTCTCAAATTGTTTTCAACCAGCACAATATTACAAACAATTACCTTCAGGAAACTGTAATGAAGAAAGAAGGCACTGTGCAAAGGTCTATAACAGTACTAAATGAAACTTATTGACTATCGGAAAGTAACTATACTTATTTCATATCTTCTTTTAGGCAAAGCTTCTTTTTGCCAAATACAACGATGAAACTCTTAATGTCGATACAGATGGTTGTATTCTTAACTATAAAGAAGCAATCGAAGTATGGAGATGCTGGGAAAAAAGTTGGGTATCGTGTGCTCAATATTATGATACTATTGTTGAAAGAATGTCTGAAGATGACAAAGATAGAAATAGACGGTAAGTTTGCGCTTTGATGCAGTTAATTTAATTTTATCGTGATATGATTGAAATTGTAATAACATTTATCATTAATATTTTAGAGATCTGCAAATACATATGATGAATTTTTATGGCAAATCACTTCAATATGGCTGCAAGTATATTCATCATTCAATGCCTAAGATGTTGACCATTTGGTTGGATAACGCTTCTCGTGCTACAATTACTTCTGATCCACCAGATATTATTAAACTTCGTCAAGATCGTCTGTTAAAGATGACTCAAATCATGGGTATCTATTTAAATTAAGTAAAAGACTTATAACTAAATAGTTTATTTAAATCATTAAATAAAAAATATGGATTGATTTTCATATTTCAGAAGTCTACCATCATAGATTACCGACGTTCATGTGGCTGACAGCGTTTAGCCAACTTGTATCAAGGATTTGTCATCCATCTCCGCTAGTACAAAGTACTCTTTGCGCGATTTTAGTGAAATTAATTTCAGCATATCCACAACATTGCTTATGGATGATGGCATCAGTTTTTAATGTATATGTTATTAATTGATATGAATACAGTATTTTTATGGTAAAGTATAAAAAATGTTTTATTTATTTTGCAGTCTTCATACCCAGCGCGACAAAAACGATGTCAAGAAATATTAAATCATGCACAATTGAAAACACCAGACATGGTTAAGCTTATTAGAGATTTCCACAGACTTTGGGAAAGCCTGATCGAATTATCCAATAAATTCATACCAGATGTAAGTTATTCAACCGTAATATCAACAAAATTATAGAGGAAAAATATATTAGTAATGTGTCAAAAATTGAAAAATGATATATACGTTTGTATGTATGTGTATATCATAAATGACAAAAATAATAAAATTCTTCTGATTTTATACAGGGACTATTAAATACTACTGTGACAAATTTGTCAAAAAATTTACTAAAGTTACTTTCAAAGAAAGGCTTCAGTTTAATCATGATGCCAACAACGAAATTCAGACAACTACATCTTCCATCCAAGAACGCTTCAATTGAAAATCACAATCCATTCTTATCGTACATATTTTATTTCTTATTCAAACAATATTCTCTTTTCTTGTAACATTGCGATATATTTTGTTATGCTTGTAATATAGGAGATGGATACATATAACAAAGATAGAAGAAGGCGTGGTAATAATGCCTTCACTTCAACGTCCGCGACGAATCGCGTTGAAAGGATCAGATGGTAAAGAATATCTTTTTATGTGTAAGCCGAAAGATGATTTACGTAAAGACTTCAGATTGATGGAATTTAACGATATCGTGAATAAGTATCTTCAAAATGATCCAGAATCACGACAAAGAAGGCTTTATATACGCACATATGTAAGATTTTTTAGCGATACAGTTTGATTTCAATAAATTGTTAACTATCCTTAATTTGCAGAGCGTGGTGCCATTAAACGAAGAATGTGGTTTAATAGAATGGATACCAAATCTGGTTGGTCTTCGACCTACCATCATAAATCTCTATAGAGAGAGAGGCATTGCACCTACAAATAAGGAACTTAAAACGATGATATGTGGTAAGCCACAAATATATAATTATAGAAAACATTCAGACATGTAAAAGTATTACTTTATCTCATTTCTAAATCCTTTCATTAGATTTAAGAGATCCATTAGAAAAGAAGAGACAAATATTTCTGGAGAAATTATTACCACGACATCCTCCTATATTCGGGGATTGGTTTCGCATTATGTTTCCTGATTCATATGGATGGTATAGACTAATGAAATAATATCTTATATATATTTTTCGTAATTTTATATATGTATATAGATATCAATTATCTAATTTTTGAAAAAGGTATGAAGCTCGCACGGCGTATATTAGGACAACTGCTGTCATGTCCATGGTGGGATACATACTTGGGCTTGGTGATCGCCATGGAGAAAATATATTATTTGATTCTAAATGTGGAGATTGCGTACATGTTGATTTCAACTGTTTGTTTAACAGAGTAAATCTTATACTTAGAATGTCTTCTTTTGTTATATATTATTTTATTTTGTTAACTATTTATCCTAATTAATGTGATAATTCTTAGGGTGAATTTTTTGATTGGCCTGAACGAGTACCATTTCGCTTGACACATAATATGGTGGACGCTATGGGTCCTTTAAAAATTGAAGGACCATTTAGACGCGCCTCCCAAATTACTATGCGAGTACTTCGGCAAGAATCGAGTACATTGTTGAGCGTACTCACACCTTTCGTTTATGATCCACTCGTTAGTTGGAATAAGAATCAGCCCGGTGATGCAGCTGAAAAGACAAATGAAAAAGTATAACGCGAAATAATTCTTTTATGTTAAATCAGTTTAAATTATGCACGAAAGGTACAAGAATAATCCATTTATTTTTGTTTAGGCCGTAGAACATATAAAAAATATTGAGCAACGATTGAAAGGCTTAATACGATATCCTGGAAGAAAAGCAGAAAATATCGCATTACATCTTAGTGTCGAAGGACAAACTAATCATTTAATTTTAGAAGCAACAAATACAGATAATCTGTGCCAAATGTATTTTGGTTGGGGTGCATATTTGTAACAAATATTACCGAAACAAGGTTATAAGAAAAAATTTTGTATATATGGATATTAATAGACAATAATGTACGAACCATATTATTGTCGGAGTTTTTACACACAGTTATCAAATGTTGTATTTTTTTTTTATTTTTTTCAGTATTATATTTCTTAATTACACATTACGGTTTCATTCAATTATAATTTAATAGTAGTTTCATCAGAGCCAAAACTTCGGAGCAACATAAAGTATGAGGCAGCCGTGCTCAATACCTATAAATATTATAATTTTTTTATGATATGTATACAGAGTGTCTGTAACTTCTAGTATACGGAGTACAAGACGTAATACTTTATGCTAAAACAACTTATTTCTTTAACAAAATTACATTTGATAAGTAGTTTTTGCAGGAGAGCAAGTTGAAGTTAACGTATGAGCGCTCTACGTGGCGCTCAGGGCCGGCGCGCGCTCCTAACTCGCGTGTACCTTGCCCTCGATAACCCTATTATTCAAAAGTAATATTTGAAGATGCAAATATGGCTCTGTTATAATTAGTTTCTGACGTTTCAATAAACGTGTATTTTCTATAAAAAAAATTCCGATTTCATATTTACATACTTGATAAACGCAGCTGGTGCCTGGACTCCTTATTAATATAATTGCATTTTGGCCATAATCTACTGAATACAATCGATATAAATTTAAGGCTAATGAGCCATTTTTTTGGGATAGGCCTGCCACGCTTTTACTAGACACATTATGTGCGTGTGCGTGTGCGTGTGTGTGGGTGTGGATAGTCGCTTTTACTAGACACATTATGTGCGTGTGCGTGTGCGTGTGTGTGGGTGTGGATAGAGAAAGAGAGAGAGAGAGAGAGAGAGAGAGAGAAAGATTAACAAAATAAATATTGCTTTCGTTACTTACGTAATAAATGAATAAAAGAATTGTCTGTGATGTAGCACCATCTGAAAATGTTACTTTTGAATAAATAGCAGAGGGCAAGGAGCGCGCGCTGGCCCTGAGCGCACGTAGACAAGAGTGCTCATACGTTTACCTGCTCTCCTGCAAAAACTACTTGTTGGACGCAATTTTGTTAAAGAAAAAAATCGTTCGTTTTAGCATAAAGTATCACATCTTTTACTCCATATGCTGGAAGTTAGAGACATCCTGTATATCAATACAAGAAATCCTACATTTTTAATATATTTTAAAAGAGGTGATCTAATTTCTTACTGCATTAAAATTCTCCAGGTGCATTACGTAAAATTTTCCTGCAGTTATTTTACTAGGTTTTTGACTACGTAACATGAGCAAACATATCTCGGTTTTGAATAAAACTGGCAATTCATACCACGCAATTGTATATACAGTTTTATAGATCATGGAACTCTATAATATAATATTTAATATAAACACGTATGTGTGTGTATATGTCATTATATCTTTTTTAACAAGAGAAAGATGCTAATTTTAAATAATAAATATACTAATTTTATTTTACCTCATATATCAAAGCATCACCAGGTATACAAAAGAGCAGCAATTGAAAAAGTGCCATGATTAAATATGAGATGTATTTAATCGATTTAGAGATTGTACTTGCAGTTATGTTTGCAGTCGCAATTTGGAAACCTACTAGACATATTATGAGACTGCTAGCTAATGTTTGCAGAAATAACATTGGGCTAAAAATTGTTTCCATATAATCGCAAAACCTAGATACAAAATTTCAACACTTTCATAATCATATGTGTGTGTGCGAGCGTGCGTATAACAATATATCTAAACAATATCAAATCTTATTGAACCGTGAGAATTTAAACTAATAAGTATCGATGAAAACATGCCGTAACGGTCAAGCTGGATTTTAGATGCTTCTAATAAATAATTTTGTGTGAAATTATATACTACGTATGTAGATTCTTGAAAAATGTGCGCCAAAATTTTTTCAGACTTACAACGTAAACTCTAATAAACTATACCCAGAGAATGCGGTTCGCATGGAATGCTAAGAGATCCAGGTTTGACTCCCGGTCAAAATAATATTTTTCGTAATATAAATTATTTGTAGATGTTTAATATGTCATTCATAAATTTTAATGTCATTTAACATTATTAAGATCTAAGATGCTATGAGCATCAAAATTGTTAGGATTATTAGTCAATTTAACTCGTAATAATATTGCGGTAGTTTATTAGAGTTTGTAAGTCGGAAAAAATTTCGGCACGCATTTTTTAAGAATCTGCATACGCGTAGCATATAAATTGACACAAAATTATATATTAGAAGCATCTAAGATCCAGCTTGACTGTTACGGCATGTTCTCACAAACATCGATAATATATCTAAACAAGTATATCTAAAATTATTACCAGAGAATCGTGTAATGATGTTTAATAATGTCTATTATATGCAATTTAATTTTTTGCGTAATATTTTCTTCAAGATTTGTATGTTGTATCTAAATAAAAAGATTTAATATATTTATAAGAAAAAAGTAGTATCCAAAACATTAATTTAACAATATATAATACGTTAAAATATGAATCTTTTGAGATAAATACTAACAAAGTCAATTTGCAAAGTATTAATATCTTTAATTTTTTTTTTAAGTACTTTGAAATGGCCACATGTGTGAAATAACGCTGTTGCAATTAAAGTATCAGTTCCCAAGATAATAAGGCCACATAAACTTGTCGCTAATATTTGCGAAAGATAAGTAATCTATGTAAATGAGAATATGTACGAATATTATAATCACACTAACAGTTTTGACAAGCTCCTGAAAATAAGGACCTTACCTCATACATCGGAAAATTATAATAATATTTTGGATACAAAGCTAAAAACGGAAAATGCTTTATAGTATTATTGTTAGTGTCTTTAATCACAGTAATAATTATTTCAATTATAGGTAGACTAAAGAAAAACATTAAAGAATTACAAATCAAAAATAAATATCCTTTAGTATATAAATATCCTTTCTTCACGTATCTGTAAATGAGTAATGAAGTATATATGTAAATCCGTAGATACACTTGTGCATTTCTAATAAAAAAAAAACACGTTTATTTACATTGCATATACATCTGTATGTTTCTCCGAAATACATGTCAATATGTCCCAATAATCAGTTAACATGTATTTGATAAAAAGATCCATTTTTTTTCTATTGCTTATCCAAACTAATGATTTTAATATAGCAAGTAAAATAGTGAGCAATACTGAACTACAAAAATTAAAGAAATAAAGTTATTCGAGTTTTTCTTAAAACGTAATAAAATTATATTGTAACCGTCCACTTTGTGTCAATTATGGTGGGAATTTGTGATTATATACCTTGTTTCCAACACAGTAGACAGATCTTGCCAATTTTGATAAATTTGTAGTCCTTGCGGTATAACAATGGCAATCATACACGCACAACAAATGATATATCTCATGATACTTGTTGGATAAAGGCCAACAAATTTTAAAACCTTTATGTTAATAAATATGTAATTATTGATATCCATATTAGTTTCATCAAAAGGATATACAATTAAAAATGATATTTGGAAGAGATGAACAAACACAAACTTTATATGTGTTAGATCTATGCTGATATAGAGACAGATCTACGAACAGATGGTATAAATTTTGAATACTTCAAAATATGTTACGAGTTTTGAATAGTTAGCATTCTATGTTTTAATGTTTATTTGGCACACGAGACATTACCGTGTCTCTTGATTAAGTTTTCTTAACAATTTATTTTACGCAAACAATGAGACGTTACTAACGCGAATCCCGATTAGTCAACTCTATTGTATCAAAAAGTCTATATAGAGACAAATATGCTTTATATATGTCCTCCGTTTATTAATATTTCATATTCAATTAAGTTAATTTGTAAGATCCCACGTCTTTTATTATTGAAGACACAAAGGCAAAGTGTTTAAGACCTTCCCTTCAATTTAGTTCTTCACTTAGCTAACGATGTGCTGTTTCCTTGGTTAAAACCACTAATAAGACATTTGAAGAGACGGATAGTTTCCTTTATACTTTCATACCTTATACTCATTTATTATTTCCATACAAAATACATGTATATGTCACAAAGGATAATTATAGCTTCCGGGTGAACGTATACTCCATCTCGCTCTCGTAGCGATATTTGCTGTAAGTATAGGGTAGGTACACTTACGATTCCAATATGATGCATATAACACTATTGGCAGTAAAACGACATCGAGGACATTGTGCAAATGTGAGGAAATATGTGAAATTGAAAAAAAAATTATTTCGATAACAATTTGCTATGGCATGTGAGTTTTTTTTTTATAAAAAATCTTATTACAATTTACAAAATTTTATCGTTTGTGCATGCAGCATATATCAGTAATAAATAAAGATCGATTTTCTCATATATGTCTGTTTATAATTTGGAACAATGTATAATTTACAAATAGAATACGCTTATCCATGTATATCAGTAATATTTAATTCTATACTGTCAAGAGTATATCTGTCATCGGATCATGATACAACATTATAAAAAGATGTTATTTAAAAGTGCTTTAATCTAACGTGCTTTATGCATAATAATTTGTATTAAATGATACAAATTAATATCATAGAATGTAAGGTTTCATCTTTCAAAACTTGTACTCGCTCTCCGTACGATATATGTTTATACAAACACTGACACTAATACCATGAAAACATACGAGGAGCAACCATGTTTTAAGGACATTTCCTTTCTACTTGACTTTTTCCACTTTCTTCATATTCCTGACTGGAGATCCACATTTGTTGAAAAGTACCAATCGACGCTAATATCGAACCGCCGATCCATGCTCCAAATCTTCTTTCTGCGCATCCGTTCGCGCTAATCAATTTAAGACGCATGCTAGAGGGTATTCTCATAGATAAATCTCTATTCAAACGTTCTGGGAAACCCTATAAATGCACAATAATTTGTCAATGTACGTAAGAAGAAAAACATTTGCTTAATTAATTTTCTATCTATTAAAATTCTACCTGAATAAACGAATTGCCACCAGTTACTACAACACTTCCGTACAGCGCTGGTCGTACATCAACGTCACACATCCCAACACTGGTTGTGACGATATGACCTACTCCTAACATAGTATTACCAACCATACCTCCACGCATTTGTACTATACTAGGATCAAATAATGCCTCTGGTATTCGAAATCTTTCACTTCCAAAATCCTTAAAATAATTATTTTTATTATCTTATTCTAAAGTTTGTGTTTGTATAAAATTGTAAACATTATATAAAATATATACCTGATGATAGCCAGTCGGGAATTCATACTGAACTGCAGGAATCGTAGAAACAATTTTCTCGTCATATGGTGTTTCTGATACCTGAAGAACTGTGGCTTGGAAATCTTGAATCACCTTCTTTACCATATAATTATGCCAAGACTTGGTAACTTCAGGTAAACCTTTCTTTTTAATCCATCGTGGTTTATCATGGTCTTTAACTACTTCTTTGCTACCCACCATATAAGGAGGTGACAAATCGATATCGTTATCCTATATTTAATTTTAAAAAAATACATAAGACTAACAGATTTGGAAGACACATTGAGAAACATAAATAATATTTGCATACTTGCAAAAACTGTCTGCACTGCATACTTATGTAATCTCCACCAAGGGGTGATTTACCGATGGCTTGTGTCAACACAAATCCATCTTGTACAGGTACTGCAGATGTATGTGTGGCACCACTATCGACAACGATACCGGTTGCTCTGCCATTAGCAAACGCAGCTAAAACTGCATTTTTCACAAGAAAATAAGCTGGTACATTATATTTTTCAAACATTAGCTCAGTTAACTTTTCTCTTTTGCTACGCACATTCCATGGTGATTCAGAAAATAATACAGGATGATATTCGGCATCAGATTGAATTATTTTTGAATATGCATAATCTAAAATCTAACAGACAAATGTATGATCCTTACATGTTGACACATTAGCGAAAAATCAAATACATATATCACAAGTCTTAAAAAGTCATATTAATACCATTAATTTACCTTCTCAAAATGATCCCAATCTTCAATCATACCGTCTTTCATATAACTTGCAATCTCCATATTCTTCCGTGGAACATGAAGAATTGTGGTATCAATGTAATATTTTGTTCCATTTTGCGTAATATTACTGTCAGGCTTTTTATCATCGATATCCATGGGTTCAACCTTAGTGACCGTGCCATTGGAGTCTTCACCTATTCCGACAACAGCCGGAATTTCTGCCTTTGGAGTATCTTCCTGAGCATAGCCCACTCTCAAGGAATGATGACCTAAGTCAAAGACCAACGCTCCTATTTCATCTCCACCATATAACATACCTCCAGACATCTTGGAAAATCGTTGAATTCCTTCAAGAATATTTGTAATATAAGAAACATATTATACGTAATACCTCAATTGTTGATATCTTTTCAAATTCTTGATGGCAGTAATAACAAGCAAATGTTACTTAGCAATGTATATGAATAAATCTAATTTCAATGATTTTTGAGATGCAGGACCTAGTCTGTATAATTACCGTATATTGACAATACATGCAACAATTACGTTTTAAGCATATTATCGTATTCGCAAACACTCACCTAATCTTTATAGTTTTCTTATCAAAAAGAACTCAATGAAACGGCAAGACTATTTGGCCCATGTGACAGCTATACATGAACATTTATTTTTGTGACCTTGCGGCTTATATATAATCATAACCTCAATGTGAAAGACGCTTCCAAAGTCGCTGTCCAGCATGAGCCATAGATGTGATATACTTAAATAGATTTGACATAACTGTTCGTGTGTCACTGCACACACAGCACGAATAAAAGAAAAAGAAATTACAATATAATTATTTCTTTCTTTATTTAACTTTTTTCACAGTATTGTTACACGCAAAGATTTTATGAATTTATTGATAAAATAATATTTGTAATTCGATCTTATATTTAAGAGATCTCAGAAATCCTAAAATCGTTTGTTTTACAGATTCAGGCTGTGTTCCAAAATGACTACCAGACTGAAAATCTATAGTTTATGTTACGAGCACTATAGGTTTTCAGTACTGGCAGTCAATTTTGGAACACAGTAAAGCCGTAATCACACTAGCGATTGCGATTGACGATTATTTCTCAACCAATTAGAGCAAAGCAGTTACCGATTGCTTGCGAAATAATCCTCAATCGTCAATTACAATCGCGCAATCGCTAGTGTGATTTCAGCTTAACACACACTCAGCAATAGGATCTATACATATACACGTATGCTGTCAATTGGGAAATTCGATGTGTCATTACGTTACCTGGCGGGAGAAATCGAAATTAACGCGAATAGTAGAGTAGGTATTTTCTCTAAGGAGACAAGATCCTATTGGTTAAGCGGGGAGCACAGACTTTTGCATAATGCATAAAGCATGTGCATAAGGAATTTCATTGGCCCATTTTCTTATGCATGAGTTAATGGACCAATCAAATTCTTTATGTATATGTATTATGCGTTATGCAAAAGTCTGTGCTCCCCGCTTTAGAATGTAATAAGCATAGACTTTTGCATAACGCATAAGAGAATCAACCAATCAGAGTCCTTCTTTTCCTCCTACTTCACGAAAGAGAAGCATTTTGATTGGTTGATTCTCTTATGCGTCATGCAAAAGTGTGTGCTGCGGCCTTTACAAAAAGTGTGTGCGAAACATATTCTACAATGACCGTTAGGGTTGGATTATACTAGCCGTAATCTGTAAAAATTGACCAATTATAATCGATTATTCCCCTCTCACTCGACTGTGATTGGTCAATTTTTACAGATTACGGCATAAGTTAACAGATTACGACCAGTATAAAGCGGGGAGCACAGACTTTTGCATAACGCATAAACCATATACATAAAGAATTTGATTGGTCCATTGACTCAGGCATAAGAAAATGGGCCAATGAAATTCCTTATGCACATGCTTTATGCGTTATGCAAAAGTCTGTGCTCCCCGCTTAAATCAACCCTTAGGGTTGAAGAATAATATACGCAATATACATATAATTAAATTTGGATCACATGTTTAATAAATGTATTTTCTTTCATTTTTCATTTACATTATTTTACATTTACATTTGTATTTTGTAATACAAAGCCTACATTTCTAAAAATATATAATTTTGTCCCTTCAATTCATTTTTTTTTACATTTTTTATATAGAAGTTAATTATTAAAAAATAATTATTTTACAAATATGTAACAGGAATGTCTGTATTTTCGATATTATGTTTTTGTAAATTATTATATGTTACTTTACATATGTAAATACATTATTGAGACCTGCTATCATCTTTAATCTATCTGTTTAACCGATAGAATTTTTTCCTGCAATAATTTCTCAAGCTTACGCACATCGACAGTAAATTTGCGAATGCCTTCACTCAATTTATCGGTCGCCATTTGGTCTTCATTTAAAAGCCACCTAAACTCGGCCTCATTTAAGCTAATCTTTTCAAGATCACATTTCTTCGCCAATTCCACACTCAAACCTTTGTGTACAGCCTCGTTGCTCTTTTCCAATTCTTCCAATAATTTAGGACTTATGGTAAGAAAATCACAGCCGGCGAGTTCTTTAATTTCACCTAATTATCAAAACGTTTAAATTAAAATAATAAAGTTAATTAAATAATATGATTTATATGTCATTGTGCTTTATAAAATCTATATTTAAATAATTTATAATGTATAAAACTATAAAATTAAAAAGAATATTAAGAGCTCAGCTCATAAAAATTTCAATGAATTCAATGAAAAATAAAAAAACACATTTGTACCTATATTTAAAATTTATTTTTTTATCACTTACACGCGCACACACACACACACACACACACACACACACACACACACACACACACACACACACACACACACACACACACACTATAATAGAATGTTTAATTTGTGGAGATATTTTAGAGGTACTTGTTAGGCAAATGTGTATATAAATATGAATCAAAATATTTACCAACGTTTCTAAATGAAGCACCCATCACGACTGTTTTATAATCAAACTTCTTATAATAATTGTAAATTTGTTTTACAGAAGCAACACCTGGATCCTCTTTTGCTTCATAAGATTTTTTATCTGTGTTTGCCACGTACCTAAACAATTTTATTTTTTTACTCTTGTACAAATTTATTTAATAAATGAGATTAAAACACTTACCAGTCCAAGATTCGACCAACAAACGGCGAAATAAGAGTAACTCCAGCATCTGCACAAGCAACGGCTTGGGCAAAAGAGAACAACAGTGTCAGATTGCAATGGATTCCATATTTTTTCTCCAATTCTCTAAAAAAAAGTGTTTCAATTATTAACGGGATATGTTCATTAATTGAATATAAGATAAATTCTTATAATTTGATGTCTACTTCGCCGCTTGAATGCCTTCCCAAGTCGATGCAAGTTTAATCAAGATGCGTTCTTTGCTCACTCCAAGCCCTTCGTACAGAGCGATTAATCTTTTCGCTTTTTCTATACTGGCTTCCTTGTTGAAGGACAATCTGGCGTCTACTTCTGTAGAAACTCTTCCAGGAATTATATTTAAAATCTCTTTGCCAAACAGAACACACGTAATATCAAGGGCTGCTTCAACTTGCTCGGCCAAAGTACTGAAAAAGAAAATCTCCACATTGACTATGTTTACACGGCTCGATTTACGCCGAAGTTATAACATCGATGTTATAACTACTGACGTTAAATGCCGTGTAAACGCTATTTTAAGACGAAGTTATTACTTCGATGTAGTAACTCAAAGTCATTTGATGAAGAGGCTTAGAGTTTTAACATCGACGTTAAAAGGACTTGTAAACGACGTCATTAACATTCAAAAGTTAGATCCTATCGTGTGCTCGATAGCGATAATTTCACTTTCGTTAGTGAAAGAAATTTTGCTTGCCCTTGTATATAAACCGCATATACACACGGAAAGAAATGAATACAAACAGACACAGGCTGGCTCATTGCTATTTCCCTACAAATCATATGACGGATTAATAGATGTTTACGAAAACTACATTCTTTTCACGGTTCTATTTTCCAAAAATTAAAAATTATATTTTTTCACAATATTTTATGTTTCTCGAAAGCATGCTCGTTTTTTTTATTAACATATCACTGCTAATTATTTAAAAATAAACGCAACATTTGCATAAACTTTGTATAGACGACACATAATGCATGCTTTTAATTGCTCAGTATTAAAATGGTCAATCTCATTGTAATTGCAAGAGCGTGTTAATTCTAGTACAATACGTATAGTTTCAACTTCAAGAAATTCTGTTTTCAATTTACGAGTGTTCTACCTTAAAATATCAAGTACGAATATCAATATATTAAACCTATTTAATAACATTATACGAAGATTGATAGTTTAACGATAAGTCAATCATATCATAAATAAACATGTATAGATGAGAGATGCCGACCGTTTGATGATCTTTTTACTATTAATATGTTATGGCCAATTTGGTGAGTTTTAACAGCCAAACATATACTTTATGAACTGTTTCAAAATCTTTTGCTATAATTAAATTGCTATAAAAATTTTTTTTTTCTTCTATCAAAACATGGTGAAATACACTGTTTCAATCGGTCATTCAATCGTTTGGTGAACGAAGTCTTTATCTTGTCCAAAATGTCATCGCATCTTTTTTTTTATCAATAATATAAATAATCAAATCAATAATCAAATAACGCCTTTACCACGCGACTTTTCCGTTTAATAGATAATAAAATAGATTATTGTTAATTAATGAATTTTTTGTGTACATATGAGTATGGCTAAATAATACAGCTGAAACATGTAATGTTGATAGTAATTTAAGTAAAATGTTTTTAGTTTGTGATCATAGTTTTTTATTTGAATATTTATGAAATTGTTTCTAATCATCAGACTCTTACTCTTTTTTAATTACATAATTGTCTTTTATAAACATGTATACTTACGATCCAGACTTTTTGCCGCATACCACAGCTTTCTCAATTAAATGAGCGTACTTCTTTTGATTAGCGGCAGCGAGAATTAACGAGGGATTTGTTGTTGCATCTGTAGGCTTAAATTGCTCCATAGCTATATCGTGAGAATAAGAATATATTATTGTTAAAATATAATATTAATAATATTAATGTTTATTGTTTACAACATTTATAATTATTTTCATTCTGTTTTAATTTTATATTTACATTTAAAAATATCTGTTTATTATTTATTCATTAAACCATTAAACAATTTGTCGAAACATTTCTGTTCAATGTGACTATCAAGAATAAGAGTGATAAATACTCTACTCTTTAAAGATTACTGTTCAACATTCAACAAACAAAGGTCATGATATTTCGTACACTGATACTATTTTATCAGTTGCAAACAGATCTAGCCAATATCGTTTGACTTTTCGGAAGATTCGCGAAAAGATGCGATAAAAATTTCAAGTTCAGAAGAAATAAATTAAATTTTCATGTATAGGTTTATATAAATCAAGAATGTGTTTCTATTAATGAAATTATTGCAACATCACTTTATCATTGTAAGTTATATTGATCGTAAAATCAATTTTCAGAAAAAAAATTATTCTTCAAGGGCACATAAAGGTCATCGTCACTTTTTAAAATAGAATATATGATTTTTTTTTTAAGAAGGTATAATTCTTTTAGTTGTTTCACGTATAAAAGTATCTTATATTTTGCATATATAACAGATATTTTATGAGATGCTTTTATTCCTACGATAGACTGCACTGCAATTTTCTTTTTCGCCAAATATTAAACATATATTTATTCCACTTTAAGTTCCAAAACTACACTTTGCTCTGATACAAGATACTTTACATTCCATGTCAAAATGTACTGAAATAAAGTATTAAAATATCTCGTAAACACAAATACTATTGTTTTCTAATAATTTAATTATATGCAAAATAATTAGAAAAATTATATTTATCTAAAAAAAAATTCATACAATTCTGTTTTTAAAATAGCGATATACATGACTTCGAAAAATTAATTTTTTTAATTTTTTCTTTGATTTTATTAATATTTATCATTCTTATTCAGATAACACAACTTTTGTCTAAAATTTTTTGTTTCTAGAATTAATGAGATTTCAAGATATTCTAATAATAACCTATATATTATGATCATGATTTTATATATTGTATATATATACATATTTATATATACATATATACCACTTTCAAGACGCCCTATATCTATAAAAGTTTTAATATTTAATATAATAGTAATACTAAAATAATTTTACTAATACTCAAATTAAAAAATGGGAACAACAAAAATTGAAAATTATATAATAAAATATATATTATATAATAAAATATAACGACTTTGAAATATAATTATGATCACATATATGTTAAAATGTTTATAATCATTCGTATGATCTGTTATCTATAGCTGAACTACTGTACATATACTAGAGAACTTAAAGTGGAAAAGGTATACATTTGATATTTGGCGAGAAAGAAAATTATAATACAAAAACACAAAAAATAGACTTCTTAAGATTCGAAGAATCACGTGAGACGCGTTCGAAAAAAGTGCAAGTGTGGTAAGATCTCCCCTCCCTTCTCTTTCATTCACGATGACGTTTCAAGTATCTACCGTCGTTACTAACCGAATTCAATTTCTTTACCTTGGAAGTCGCCGGTATCGGCGACTATTGTAGTGAGGTCTTTTAGCTGGCTCAACGAACTCATGGTCTTCGTTTTCTTTGACTGAGGCTCGCTCATGGTCGCCGTAGGTATTTATGCGTACGCGTAGAGAAGAAAAATTTTGATGTCTCACTCACGCAAATGCTCCGTAAGCACTGATATCAGTGATATCGCATCGTATCGTATGTACGATAGATCCATTGAACGCAGCGATTGGCTGTTCAATAGAAAACTTTCGGAAACCAGAGATTCGTATTCGCGATGCTCAATTAGCCTATTCGAAAAAAAGAAACCTGTCCAATAAAATATCGGTTGAACCTCGATAGTAGATTAGCCAACCGCACAAAAATAAATTCATGAATGCGCGCGCGATATTGTGATTTTTAAATTCAGAATTTTTGTAGAATTTAAATAAACAGCGACTGAAACTATTGGTGATAACTGATTTGTATATAAATATAAAAATAAACCTATATAAGTATATTAATGTAATTGAATTGAATCTCGACGAGATTTGTTAATTAAAAATTTGATCTAATTATGTAAACATAAATAAAATAATTATACATACTAAAACAAAATATAAATTCCTTTTTTAAAATATAATATAACATTCGGATATGTATAAACTTAATTTTTAAACTTAATTTACAAATATAGTTTGTTTACTTTATGATTATTTAATATTTTCTAAAAAAAAAAAAAAACAAAAAAAACGATACCATTATGCACACATAAGAAAATTTTCGTAAAAACTGTATATTTATTAAAGTCTATTTAAATTAAGTACACAGTGTAAATAGAACTTACTGGCCTATATCAATACATTTCAATTGAACTGGAAATATGAAGCTATATAAAAATAAATATGAGTATATATAGTCATTGTACTTATAATAAATAGGTAAAACTATATTGCAATGCATAATTTAATTTCAATATCTCTATATATGTTTTGTTTGCCATTCCCAACTCACTCGCACGTCACCTAACTAAATCTGCCATTCTTAACTCTTTCAGCTTGATTATAAGAGTAATTCAAAATCAAAATCGAATATAAAAACATGATTGTACTCATGATTTCTTCATATATATACGATATAATAATTCTCATTCTTTTTTAAGACAAAAAGCTTATGATTAATTTCATCACCATTTTTTTCTAAAAAAGAAATAGCATTTGCTCAGTCTATAAATATAATCTTTTTTGTTCTATTTAAATATATTAATTATTTTTATTAACGCATTTAAATTGTTTCCACTCTTGATAAGTGTTTAAAATTTCACATATCATCAATTCAATATTAACTGTTAATAAGAATTTGACTTATAAAATTGAGTATTACCTCGTTAATAATACTCTTATATTTTCGTTATTATCAGACTTTCTCGGCAGATGTATGTTTATCAAGGGATACAATTTTCGGTTGGTGGCCATAAAGAAAAATCGAACAGATGACAAGGAATGCACCCAGAGTAAACTGGAACGACAAGTGAAAGTCGAATAGATAAACGGAAGCAAAACAAGAAATTATGATAGCTAAAGATGTAGCAAATCCTTTCAATATATTATCGGCGTATTTGACTACCATAGCTACAATCAATCCACCACCTGCTTGTAGGATTACCAAGTACCAAATGAACAAATCGTAACCGAAAAAGAAGCCTTGCTTGCGTATGACATTACCGTCTTGCAAAAAACATGTACTTAGGCCGAACGGTATAGATAATACACTCAATTGCACGTTTCGCATCCACACGGAAATGTCAGAGCCCTTAAGAATCTTTTCGAAATAAATTCCTGCAAAGCCGGAGAGGAAACAGGCGCTTAAAGCGGCAGAAAAACCCAACCAGTGATTTTGTTCAATACCCGAAGGTAATGATGCTTTTACAGTTTGTACTAATTGTACCAAAACCACTCCAATAACCAAGAGTACGAGTGCACCCCATTGGGTACTATGTAAAGATCTACGTAATATTGTCACTGCGAAAAAGGCTGTCGTTAGAATCTTCAACTGATATGTAACCTGAAAAATGTATATTTATTTCAAATATAAATTATAAATTTTACCAAACAGACACGCGCACACACACACACACACACACGCACGCACACATAATAAGAGTAACTAATATATAAAAACTGTATCCACAAATTTAAAAAGTGTAAGATAATCTGAGATCCTTAAATTTCTTTGTTTCTTGATTACAAATTGAACGTTTTAAAAATGATACAAATCCTATAAAACAATTATAAATCCTACAAAATCAAGAGAAAAATAGATCAAATTGAAAAAAAAGTTAAATCCCTACTTTGTAATACTTAACTAATCTATATTTCATATTAATTTTTATTTTTCATAAAATTTTTTTGTCAATATTTTACTTTCACTTGAATTTGAATATAAAAATTAAAAAAAAAAATTTTTAATAAATAACTAAATGTTGTATTTTATAATATATAATTTCTTTTTAATATTTAAATGATAAAAATGCTTTGAAATCGTAAAATTTCTGTTTAATTCAATATTAACTGTTTTTAAAAAAACAATTATGAATAAAATAAGTAATAGACACTTTAATTCCAAAATCAACTAAATCTTTCCTCCAACTGCAAGTGTTCAAGTGTATTTTAATATAAACAGAAAAACTTTTCTTTTTTTTATGTCACATTATACATAATATGGTTTATTAACTAAAACTGTGAATTTTCTTAACTTCTTAAAGGAACTCTTGTGATAGCTTGAATGAGAAAAATTATACAAGATTTTCTTTGCTCTCGCCAAAAAAATTTCAAGTGGAGATAATGACTTTAATATGTGAATAACCAATGGGTTATTCACAGGATTATTCACATATTAATCAATATATATTAATTTATATTAATTGTTATTCTCTTGTCTTTTAGAAATAAACAAAAACAAATTTTTATGTCTTACCTGATGCGTAGCTGCATCTAAATTTGATGCAGAAACATAAAGTAAATTATTTTGAATAATGTACAGAAAGGATGGCACACACACTTTTAAAGTGTCGATAGGTTGCTTCACGATTGTCATATGTAATGCTTTGTAAAATTTTTCAAAATTTCCTTCTTCAGTATATACTAATATAAGGCAGGTAATCAATTTGACTACTTCAGCCATCACAACAGCTAAAAAAGAAAGATGATACTGTTATTTATGAATGAAACAAGAGAATTTTCTATTATATTAAGATTGACTGTGTATTATATAAATACATATATATATATGTATTATTTATATATATTATATATATATATATAAATACAGATAATATTTACCAGTGGAAGAAAGAAACATGTTTCCTGCTCTGGTACGTGAATATCGCATGCTAAGGCCAACCATAGCATTTTGAACTGTGAGAGTAACTAAACTCACAAACTTTAATGTTTGTCCAGTTCCTATAAGATATATATCGTCAGTGCTTATATACTATATGCCAGAGAATAATGTATAACATTTATATAAATATAAATAGTATACTAACTTTGTGAAGTTTTGTTCATGTTGGTAATAAGGTCTTTTGAACTTTTTTAAAACAACTTATAGATATTTTTTTGCAAATTATATTTTTCCTAGAATTATAAGAAATATATATATCACCTATTTAAAAAAATTATTTTATTATTTTTCTTCCCTCTCTTATAAAGCGATCAGTTCTGATTATAAAAAGAAAGAAAATGTACATCTAGATATAAAATATTAATTGAGGAATAATTTAAGAATATAAATGAAATGCAAATAAAAGTAGCAAAAAACAATATGATTTATAATTTGCAGAAGAAAAAATAAATCAATAAAATAATTACTGAGTAATTTGTAATATACTAATGATATATGTTTTACAATACAGAATGTTACCTTTGGTTCGTAATATTTATTTTAATGTTATTAATACTATTAATAACATTAAAATAAAATAATTAAAATAATTATTTTCTAAATGTATTCCCATATCATTTAATACACACACACACACGCACCACGTCATATTGACATTTGTACTGTGACAATTAGCTGTGTAAGTTTTGATAAACAAATTGAAAAATTAAAATCATTAAGATCTAGCGAAGAATCATTAAAAGCTACGATAATGCATAAAATGAGATAATTGAACAACTTGCAAAATAATCCTTATCAAAGATATGTATGTACCTTTCCCGGAATTTTTGTACACGTTGAACTGACACGTTGAACATTCGTACTTCGTAAGAATTCCTAGTTATTTTCCTATCGACGTCACCGTTGATTGGCTGTACTCTCGTTTTGTTTTCTATTTTAGGTACTCGTTTAGTTTAACATATTCAAACACAAAAGTTGATTAAAAAATACCCCCATGGACGCGTTTTTTTCGTGAAATAAACAAAACTGATAGAAAAGAGTGTCGCATTGCTCCGTGATATTAATCATTAAAGTTGACTATCGAGGTTAGAAAATCTATCACATGCGGTATACAGAGTAATATTGACCTATGAGATCGCCTGTCATGAGCTGATTGGTAGAGTGGACTGAACTTAAGTCAAAAAGTCTTCTACCGTTTTGCAATTTTCGTAATAGTTCACGAGATGTTAATTTTTAAAGATAGCCCGAATAAACATAGACACGCGAAGAGTGGAAACCTGGAAAATGCGGTAAGCGCCCCCAACATCAGTCATCACTCGAGTCAGAAACTCTGCCTGAGTGCTTCCATGTATCGTCTTATCCTTGTTTAACATGGTTGAACAACAAGGATAAAACGATATACGGGAGCACTTGGGATGTTTTTGAACGCAGCTTAGGAGTTTGTAACATTAGGTCTGTTCGCGTTGCTTGCACTTTTTGCACTTACTATCTTCGCTTTCTCTCTTTTTAACCCCGAATAATATATCTATCTCATTTTAAGTGCAAAATTATTGGGGGCAACGCGAACAGACCCATTGTAACCCCATTTATGGTTTCTAGGGAGCTTCGAGAAATGCCAACACACATTTGTACGCCATTCTTTATGGATTTTGTCCGGTAACCCTAGCTAAAGAATCTTGCCACCGTATTGGCTGCAGTGCTGATAGTGCTAATATCGCAGCCAATCCGATGGCAAAAATCTGATCCAGCAAGAAAACAAGCATCGTGTGCCGCTGGCTTAAAGCAATTGATTTATTAAAAATATTATTTATTCTACAAATGGTAGAATACTCCTGAGTGTATTTATATACTACAATTCTACAAATTGATGAAAAAATGGTTTCATCATGTTGTATATGTTCGAAGGAAAATGTTCCTTCGGAACCAGAGAGATCATTTCACAGGTAATTGTTAAAATGGCTAAAACCAAGTATTTTATAATGATAATTAAGCAATTAATTAAAAATTCGATTAATTACAAATATTATAGTAATGATTGTTGATAACTATATTAATTGTAAGTTTATTTTTTAAAGAAGCTTTGCTATATAGAGGTACGGTGACCATACATCCTTTATTGTAAAGTTTCTTTAAAAATATATGATTACCGTATATATATAGGCATATTTAGTTACATAAATAATAAAGCCTTACAAATTTTGATAAATAAATTTTAACAAAAGCTTTAAAATGTACAATATCTATAGGATACCAGCAAACGAAGAAATGAGGAATAAATGGTTACGAATAATCGGTCGTAATCTTTCATATAAAGGAGCCAGAGTTTGTAGTGATCATTTTACAGAAAACGATTATCATGACATAAATCCTTATACAAAAATCAAAAGATTAAAGAATACTGCTGTTCCTTCTTTGACCCTACAAAAAAAGTGAGACAAGATTCTTTAATTAAGACTAATATGTATATATATATATATTGAGAGTTCAAATAATTTTTAATAATAAATCTATAAATTATTTTATACATTTCTATTTAGAATAGATACAAAGAGGACATTATTATCGTACCAAAACATTGATGTAAATTTTTATAATAATTCTGAAATTCTTTTTGAAAATGAAAACAATATTGCACTTTACAATTCAGAAAATCATAGAACTAATGCAAGCAATTATAATATTGATACCAAAGAAAGGTCAGTATACACATAAGTTTGAAGATACATGGGATCTATCATTTTAGAACAGATTCTTGTGATAAAAGCACTTTTGATGGTTAGCTATTAGAGAATAGACATGCAAATCAATTGTCATGTCTATATATAATAGTGTATTTTACTGGCTGCACTAGTGTGCATTAGACGAGAGCAGTGTGTATCACTTAGCGTTTTGGTACATAGGGAGATGATGCACACTGTTTTATTAGGAAACCTAGTGCTGAATTCTTGTACTTGAATGCAAAAATTTTACACGAGCTTCAAGAGGCAGTATCGGTTTAGTGCAATATGGTAGCACGGCAGAAAGTTGAAAATGCTTCCAAAGTTTGCGTTTAAACTACTTGATTTGCTGTCTTTATCATTATCTAGTAGTAATGATGAAGATGAATATTTTGAAACTTCACTAAAATTTGTAAAATTGAAAACTTTATTGATTTGATGCATATGTGTACAGATAAGGAGTAACACACACAGACACTTTATTATTATTAGTGCATTTATTTTTATTCATATTTATTTTTTTTAACTAGGATGCATCTAACTACAGGTTTTCTATATAATGTACATATATTTATATATATATTTTTTAAGTAGGATGCATCTACTACAGGTTTTCTACATAATGTACATATATTTAAGGAAATAATTTGGTAAACTAATTATTATTTTTTTATCTTTCCGCTTGAAGATGACTCGAACTGAGTCGAAACGTCCAGTTAATCTTTATTATTTCAATTTTTAATTTTTAACTGTTTTATATGTATTATTGTTTTTGTATTTGTAATTTACTTTGGCTCCTTGCCCTTTTATTAATATTTATTTTTATCTTAAGAGCCATTTATTTACATTGTTTTTATTTTTTTTTCAATTCTATAAGAACATAGTCTCAAGAGATTAAATCTAAATATATATAAAATTATTACCAATATGAGCTAATACTAGTTGTTTGTGTGAATTATAAGTAACTTTTATTGTATGATTAAAAATCATACAATAATACAAATAAATATTTCGACCTTTTGTTTAAGTCCTCGTCAGTATGATCAAAATATCAAAATTTGAAAAATAATCTAAGTCATGAGAACACAATGTACATGTTGAGTGAGATTGAACCTCGAATTTTTGTAAATTTGATATTCAACAGTAAGAAGAGTGAACCACACAATGCACCGATTGATTTATTAAATTAATTGATTTAATATTGACGAGATGTTAAATCAATTTTGATGGCTCGGTTGTTCGACATGTAATGCGTCATTACATGTCGAATGACCGAGTCAACATTGATTTAACATCTTGCCAATATTAAATCAATCAATTTTACATATTAATCAAAAGGTCGAAACGTTTATTTATATTATTGTATGATTTTTAATAAAGTTATAATTCACGAACAACTAGTGTTGGCTCACATTGGCAATAATTTTACATATATCTAAATTTATTTTTTATGTACATTCGTCTTTATTGTCGACAATCTACACGGGAATAACCACAAAATCCAAAAAGTCATACAAATTCCATAATTCTATTCACTTATCAATTTATTGTATAACTCTGTTTCACTTGGTTAAAAATTTAACGAAAAATATCATAACTGATTTTTTGAAACAAACGCTTAATTCTTCTACCATAGTGAAGTTTACGAGCCATTACGTGGCATTTGAACATGAAGCTGTGTTTAGCTAGGAGTGCAAGAAATTCACATCTTCAGCAACCTCGTGCAGTGGTAGCTGCCAGCTGCCACTGAACGAGTTTGTTCGTGCGCACTCAGTGCGGCCCAGTAAAAAACGTTATAAAATTTAATTAATATTGTATATTAAATTTTTTTTCTCTATTGAATCAATATACAGTTGTATTTAAATTAAAATAGATATATTTTGAAATTTGGTAAAAAAATGAGATAGATAGTCTTAGGTGCAGCGGTAAAGTATAGGTCTATCTTTAATAATGTTTATACTTTCGAATAATATTTTTATTTGCAGTGGAACAAGTAATGAATTAGAATTGACTCAAAATACAAGTGAAGATTTAATTTTTCTCTTAAATTCTGAACAAGAAATGAATGCTACTTGTATCAATAATCAAGAAAAAACTTGTGTTTATTTCGAAAATAATATAAATGATATGAATAAAAAGAGGTAAGACAAACACGAAGGAAAAAAATAATTTTTATTTTATATCTTGCAAATACTGTAAATAAACATTTTTTTAGAGAATTTCCATCATCTAATTTAGGAAATTTTGAAATAAATGAAAAAATTTTAAAATCTTCCAAACACACTACAGAACGCTTCACAAAAACAGATTTTTCATCAGAAGAAAAATGGACAGCGTTTCTAAAATGTATTGCTTACAATAAACATGCAAATAGACTTATGCGACAAAAAAACAAACGCTTGCAAAAGAAGATTTTGGTATTTCAAGATATGTTGCAAGATTTGTTGAGAAAAGTTTAATATTTGAAGTATCTGCTCATTATGACGTTGTATTAAATAAATTACTAAATTT